AAAGGTATATATTTTTTATATAAAGTCTATTTCGTTGAGGGTGGCGATAGACGGTATTGGGGGGGGGGGGGAGAAAGGCGGACGAAGCCATCCCTCCCCCCTCGTAGAAATGCCTGAAAGAGACTGCCCCGCTCCACCCTTTTATCCGTATTACTAGTATCCTATTTTCACGAGTCTTAATTCTACGTAATGAACAACCGCCACATTATCTGACCCCGCCTCCCAACCCTAATTCTCCATATTAAAAACCATTTCAAATATCACCCCAGGTATGACGTCATTTACGGAAGGCCTTCAACTTAGCCAAACCCCAAAACTTAACCAAGTCTGGAAAGCCACGACAGTACACCCAAGTTCAATTCACATTGTGCTACAAATGAAAAGCACCAATCACATTTAAGGGAAGCTTGCGCTATATTTAGAAACGGTAATATCCGGTTTGATTGGATGAAACCATAGACCGCGTCTTTGTTGAACAACACGAGTTGTGTGCCACTAATTCTCGCGTAGTCTCACAACGTCACGGGAAACCCCAAAGTGCAGCCGTACTTTGAAATCGATACCGAGTTTTAAAACTTTTGATAACGGTTCGAGAATTCGCCTTCACACGTGCACTTTACTCTCGTTGGAAGACAAAAGCAGACTTTTTTCTCCGGGGGGGGGGGGGGGACGGACTTGATATTTTCATATTTTCGAGGGGATGGTCAACATTTTCCTGGGGGGGGGGGTGGGTGGGTGGCGGTGGCGGACACTAGTAAAAGTATATATTTTCTATATGAACTCCATTTTGTTCGGTGGGGGGGGGGGGGGGGGGGGCGGTAGACTCTCTTGCCCCCCCCCCCCTACCCCCGAAGAGAAGCCTGGAAGAAACTCGACAAAAGGACGCGGAAAATCTTTTCCTATAAATTATTGTTCTCATCTTAGTTATCCCTGCCCCCCCCCCCTCTGTCGTCTCCAGAGGCGTAGCGACCCTTCCCGGCGCCCAGGGACAAACTTTTCGATTTGCACCCCCCTCAAGATTTCGATTTGCACCCCCCCCCCCCCTCAAACTTTCGATTTGCACCCCCCCCCCCCTCGAGATTTCCATTTGAACACCCCTTCAAACTTTCAATTTGCACCCCCCTCAACCTTTCAATTTATTTTTCCAACCCATTTTGGCGCCCCCTAAGGTCGGCGCCCGGGGACATATGTCCCCCCCCCTCGCTACGCTACTGGTCGTCTCGTAGTCTTTCCACCACCCACACAGTATAAGGTAGAATGAGACTTTACTAACACTACATTGCTGTGCTATGTTACTGGGTATGATAGGGCGGATTTTTTTCAGGGTGTTATGCCAAAAAACGAATAATTTCGGAAAGATGTTTAAATCCTACCCGGCAAGTTAAAGACTTTAATTGGCCGTCTGTTCTGTAGAAATCCCTGGCATACAATTCCAGAATTGAGATATTGGCGTGTTCCTAATAATTTCATGTTACACGAAGGACTGTTGGCTGGCAATAGGGTTTCTTATAAAGTTAGATCTTTTCAGATGACGTTGATCATGGTAGGGTTTTGATTTGAGTCAGGTTTATTAATACGATTATGGCGAGGCTAGGAAAGCAGATAGAAGGAGGGATAAGGTTAAGGTTAGGGTTAGAGCTTAAGGAATGGTCTGAATCTGAGCTAAATCAATAACGTTGATCTAATGGGATCTGTATCTACATTAGTGTTTTTGTTTTAAAAATGAAATAGCTGATTTTTTTTGGTTAAAAAATACATTTATGTGGCTGTCAAATTTACAGTTTTGTAATTAATTGATCAAAACACAAATGTAACTATTTTAGATAAAAATCAGTTATTTCAAGGTATATTTTTTTATCCAGATTTTACAGGAGTAACAATTCTGACCTAGTACTAGAACAACTTAGTCCAACACAATACACAACAGCATCTTCTTTAAGGCTGCACAACCACAATTATACAGCCGCAAGCAGCTGCCTATTCATCTTCAAAATGCCCATCTACCATCGCGATATACAACAGCATTATCCTTAAGGCTCCAATTATACAGCCACAAACAGCAGCCTATTCATCTTCAAAAGGCCAATCTGTCTCGCATCACTGACGTTTATGTGATTGGCAATAGTCCTACCCCAATTTAATCACCGTTTACGAGTTAATTAGCTGTTTACCTAGCCGCTACGTACCGAGTCGATGCATTTAGCCTACACACTAGGAGTAGAGTTAGTGGGGTCGAGTGGGGGGGGGGGCACTATTGCGTAATTTTATTTCTGCTGCATTTGTATTGGGTCACGCTGACCCGCTCGGTAACGATTGTTAACTTCAAGTGATCTAATTCTATTGGGTTGACCAATTAAGTTGCCCCTGTTAACCTCAAGTGATTTAATCCTGCTCAAAGAGAGTTGGGCGTGTCCCCTGTAATTAGCAGGGGGGTGGGGGGGGTCATGGTCTAGGTAACCCAGGGTAGAGCTCCATCACACGTCACGACCCAAATGACCCCGTGAGTAAATCATTGGAAACACGTCATTATCTACTTCCGGTGTGGTTAATTGCGGAGAAGTGATCCGAAAATTTAAGTATAGAAAACGTGGAAAAAAACCAAAAAAAAAAGAAAGAATAACAATGTTACAATCGATATATTATCCATGTAATCATTATTTGTTCTCTAAGCCATTTTTTGCCACAATTTGTCTGAGATATATTGTCACGTCAGCATAAAAACTGCACCAAACAGGATATTTATATCCCGACCTTAAGCCCTGAATTGTGGTGCAGACCAGTCTAGACTTTGGTGATTGCTGTACTGTAAAATGGAATGCTCAGACTGCAGACAATCTAAATAAATGTGTGTGAGTGTGTATGTGTCTGTGAATGATTGTATGTGTGTGTGTGTATGTGTGCGTGTGTGTCTGTCTGTCTGTGAGTGAGTGAGTGTGTGTGTTTCTGTGAGTAAGTGTGTGTGTGTATGTATGTATATCTGTGAGTGAGTGAGTGAGTGAGTGAGTGTGTATGTGTGTGAGTGTGTATGTAAATCTGTGAAGTTAAAAAAGTTAAAACAAAACCATCAAGTTTGTTTTGAACATTTCATTTAAACCTTAGCTAGAAGAGTCTGGTTCCAGGGATATGATACATGTTTAGCAGACTCCTAGATAGTTTTCAAAGCTTGTCTTATTATATACTACACTCTTAAGAATGAACTTGTGTTAAGAATAATCGCTTCGGCACCATATTATTTTGGTATTAGATACCTCCCTGTTTCGAAACCAACCCCCTCACCCTCCCCCCTCACTCCCCCTACCCATCAAAGCAGATTTAAGATGGAGAGAAGCCACCGTAGGCGGTGATTGACAGCCGATCACCTGCCATCGATTTGTTTGTTAACCTGATTCATCGATTACTCGGTGATTGCTTTGTATCGATTAGTATTGAACGTGCAAAGACGATCAGAGTGTCTCATTTTTCATCAAGTTTTTTTTTGTATACCTTGTTTGCTACATAAAAATTATAAGTAAAATACCTGGCCGATCAATATTCTGTTCAATATTCGGTGCTTTAGCATTATCCGGGAAATAAGAACAACCAAACATTTGATAATTATGTTCAGCTACTTTATCTTGTGGTATCAGAATGAGGTACGTAGATGTGAGGACAAGTTTTAAACCGTCTTTGTCCGTCATTTTTATGTACTGTTTTCAGAAACCATTATACCGTGGTCTAGAGGTAGAACGCGCATTAGCTAATGGAAAGTTACAAGTTCGATGCCGAAAAATGTAGATGTTAGGTAGGTCGTATCCACACGGAAAATCTCGCCACATTAACGCATGTGAGGGATGTGGTGGTGGGGGATTTAGTAGGTCGTATCCACACCGATAATCTCCCCATTTTCAAATTAGGTATGTGTGTGTGGGGGGGGGGGGTGAGGCGATGCATTGAGGAGTTAGTAAAAGACAACAGCTCACGCATGGAAACAACTGGTGTGCGTTAAGCTCAACATTACACGCCAAATTAGGCGAGTCGGCTACGTTGGTGTATTAGAACAGAGAAGGAACAATGATGAAACAGCCACATGTGGTGGTGACACCACCTGAGAGAAATGGTGGTGACACCAGAGAGATGGTGGTAGAGAACGTACATATATATAGCAGAGAGGAGATTATGGGTGTGTCGTATATCCAGTTGGTGCTACATGTATTGGCGATATCACTCATACATTTTTGGCGTGTTAAACACAATGGCTTAGAATTTGGTTCTAGTTTTAACACACAGCGTCGACGGTGTAACCTTGAACGGTGAAACAGTACCTACCACCTATGGTGGTGACATGCACGTACACATCAAACAGCTCAGATGGTGAACATTTAGTGGTGACTTTAAAACTATCTGTAGTAGTGGTGAGCTTAACGCTATACATTAGTGGATCATAGATTGGTGATACAAAACCAGTAGCGTAGCGAGGGGGGGGGGGGGCGGGGCGGGGGGGGGGGGACATATGTCCCCGGGCGCCGACCTTAGGGGGCGCCAAAATGGGTTAAAAAGATAAATTGAAAGGTTGAGGGTGGTGTAAATCGAAAGTTTGAGGGGGGGGGGGGGGTGCAAATGGAAATCTCGAGGGGGGGGGGTGGAAATCGAAAGTTTGAGGGGGGAGGTGCAAATGGAAAGCTCGAGGGGGGTTGCAAATGGAAAGTTTGAGGGGGGTGCTAATAGAAATCTCGAGGGGGGTGCAAATCGAAAAGTTTGTCCCCGGGCGCCGGGAAGGGTCGCTACGCCTCTGTACAAAACCTACCAAAATTAGAGACTAACGTCACGTTGTAGAATAGAGACAAAAATAGTTCAACATATAGTGGTGACACCTACCTATGGTGGTGATTACCGTCACGTTGTACAATAGTGACACATATGGTGCAACATTTAGTGGTGAGACAACGACACAGATGGTGCAGCATTAAGTGGTGAGACAATGAGACAGATGGTGTAACAATAAGTGGTGAGACAACACCTACCTATGGTGGTGATGACCGTCACGCTGTAGAGCAGTGACCCTGAGAATGACCACTGCATTTCCTCGTTGCTCTCGTCCCTACCGTCCCAACCCTTCTCCTTGACGGCGAAGTACAAACTGTTCTGGAAATCTCGCAGGATCTCGTCCGCCATTGCTGTCCAGTTTCTCTCGTACAGGATGTTTAGCTCTTTCGTCATATTCCATAACTAAAGGGAGACAATTTATAATCACTTTTTTACTTTCTCGTATATACGTAGTATAGAGAAAGTATTGTAATCGTGCAAAAAAAAAAAATCGAGATTTTTACAAATCTCGACGTTTTACACCTCACTGATACGGAAAAACATAATTTTGCAATCTTGTCCGTATGTCTGTGTGTGTGTGTGTCTGTGTGTGTGTCTGTCCGTGTGTAAACACGATAACTTGAGTACCGTTACAGCTAGGTTGATGAAATTTCATATATAAGTATTTTATAAAAATCGTAGATCCGTATCAACTTTTGAGCGATTTCCGATAACCGGAAGTGGTACTTTTCCTACTTTGAATTTTTCAAAAGCCTATAACTTGAGTACTATTTCAGATAGATAAATGAAATTTCACATGTAAGTAAAAGATCTAATTCTCTACCTTCTGTTAAATTTTGAGTAATTTCCGTTGATTGGAAGTAGTAATTTACGCTACTTCCGATTTCTCAAAAAACTAATGTAAATTTTTAAAGTACTAATTATATTGCGCACTATTATACGCGTTTTTATTCGGCGTTTGCTTGGTGCGCAATGTTTTTTTTATGAGATTCTATTCTATTTTTAAAAGTTTAAGTATTTAAAATGGATTAAAAATCATAACTATATCCCCAGTTACCATCCCCTGTTGTTTTATATAAGAATATTCGAGAAAGTTTAGGGGAGATTACTACCGGTTTATTAAAACAAGCAAGGGAGATCATTCTTAGTACATTGTTTGAAATAGAAAGAGGGGCTATTTGTAATAAATCATTCAACAACTTCATTATTCGACATCTTCAAGGGAGAAAAAGTTTAATAATTAATTGCACTTTTTAAGGGAGATAATTTACAATAGATTATTCTGCAGCTTTAACTTAATTAATTTGATGAATAAGTAAAATTAGGTTTATTTTACATTTGCATGTGAACAATGATCGATTTATCATAATGCGTAGTTCGGAGGCATAACCGCAATAGCCAAGCATATTGATAAATAAGTTTAAATTCTCGAGTTGTGTTTAGGACATACACTATCTTTTCAATAGATCCTTCACAAATTTACGCCGCTTTGTTTTACCCCTCGCCTATACATAACCCTGACTCTACCTACCCCTACTTCTAATCGTACTCTATCCATATCCCTGACCCTACAATACCCCTACTTCTAATCCTACTCTATCCATATTCCTAACCCTACCATACCACTACCCCTAATCCTACTCTATCCATATCCCTGACCCTACAATACCCCTACTTCTAATCCTACTCTATCCATATTCCTAACCCTACCATACCACTACCCCTAATCCTACTCTATCCATATCCCTGACCCTACCATACCCCCAACCGTTTCTCTAGTATTCTTTAGCTTTGAGATCGTGGTCAAGACGCACTGTTGTTGTTCCGTGTATAATACACAGGGGGTAGTTAACAAGGGGGTATTGGGTTACTGTCCTGCTTCACCGGCAGATACACAGATCTGTGCCAAACAAAACAAACTTAAAATACCTCGACACGTTCCTAATGGACTAGGACAATGTTCGTGAATCTGATGACGTACAGTTTGACGGTTTGTTAAATTGGGAACTTTTTAATTATTATTTTTTTTAAGTTTTAAACAATGTTTAAAAAACACAGGTTTAGCCATTGAATTTCGACATCATCGATATTTCGCTCAGTTGTTCTAGACGGTTCTAGGCGGTTCGCATGTCTCGCCGAGTAGGATGTCGATCACAGGGTATCAAGCTGTTCACCGAATATGACGGCGAAACCGCAATCGACCAAATGACAGACTTGAAAAAAATCCATCCACTTGATTATTCAATTACTTAATATTTTAATGTGTACTTTTTTTTTTTAAATTAGCTTTTACAATGTTAACAACTTATTTTTTTTTCGGGACGGGGACGGGAGGGTGGGGGGCAAGAAAGCTGCATGCATACAAATGAATGCGAGACAGGACATTGTCTCTACTAAATTCCAGAGCCCATGAATAATAAATACAAAATTCAGTGTGTTGCATCATTTATGATCCAGACCGTTTTACAATAGCTCTCTCTTTCCTTGTTTGGTGCTAGGTAATAGACGATTTGGAGAGTTCGCATTATTTCAAGTCGCTTGCCAGTAAATTCTAACAGTCTTCTCGTTTAGTTATCTCACGTATCGTGTTGGGCATGGTTGAATGTTGTACGCTAACACAAAATAAATAATAGGGCCTACTTAAGTAATGCCTTAATTAATAATACGTTCAATATTGAGTTCGGACTTCTGACCAATACTTACGCACTTGAAATTACCGGTAGGTGGACTAAATTCCCTTGGGGGGGGGGGGGGGAGGGGTAAGGACACTGGTAAAAGTATGTTTTCTTATCTAAATTCTCTTACGTTCTTCTAGTGTGTGTGGGGGGGGGGGGGATGGAGATGCCTGAAACTCTGACTACAAAGCGTTAGAAAAATCAATTAGATTAAGATTGAATTGCATTTTTCACGCTTATTTGGTTCTTCATGCCAATAACATTTTTTTCGGTTTATGGCTTTATAATCAGACACTAATTATTTAATTAGCAGCCAATTAGGGAATATTAGCGCCAATATACAGAAATTAAAACTAAACTTATAATTTGTTTAGACTTTTATATTTTAATTTTTACTCGTGTTGTTATAATATATTAATAAGAAGACTTAAAAACAGAAGCACAAAACTAAAGGATGATGAATTAAGCAGTAACATTAGGCAAAATAGAAAAATGCTTTTGTTATTAGAGTAATTAGTTGCTATTCATACGTGTACGTGCTAGTTAATTATTTTGGGAAAAAGTCAATTTATAGTAAAAAAAAAACAATCATTGAGAATTTAAAAGGTGATTTAACAGTTTCAGTTCAGATGTTGGTAAAATACGTGCCTTTATTTATGTCAGTTCTAACAGTTTGCTAGTGTTTGGCATAGAACATGCTTAACAGTAACACATGACACAATACTGACCCATGACATAATACTGACCCATGACATAATACTGACCCATGACATAATACTAACCCATGGTACAATACTGACCCATGGTACAATACTGACCCATGACATAATACTGACCCATGACATAATACTAACCCATGGTACAATACTGACCCATGGTACAATACTGACCCATGACATAATACTGACCCATGGTACAATACTGACCTATGACACAATACTGACCCATGACATAATACTGACCCAAGGTACAATACTGACCTATGGTACAATACTGACCCATGGTACAATACTGACCTATGACACAATACTCACTTATGGTACAATACTGACCCATGACACGATACTGACCTGTAACACAATACTGACCCATAATACATTAGTGAACTAACGTACAATGCTGACCCATGGTACAATACTGACCCATAATACATTAGTGAACTAACGTACAATGCTGACCCATGGTACAAAACAATACCTATAAATCCCTTTAGATTACGGGTAGCTTACATCAATTTTATTAAACTAAATTGTAATGTATAAGTCTTACAGATGAGCTAAGGTGGTCTGAGGTACTATTGCAAAACTGCAAAACGTCACATTCGGGTAGGGTGTGGATCGAATATTTCTTGTCTACGTTTTTCAATACGTGCAATATCCTTAAATGTCTGTTCAAAAACTCACAAGTGTACAATGTGTACAAAGACGTTGTACTCACCTTGCCCACGCATTCATTCCTCGTCCTCGTCACACCCACCCTCTCCCTCAGCTCGTCAAAAGACTCCAGATAATTAAACAGGAAGCCTCCCATGATCGAGTAGGCCACCACTAGAGAACACAATCCGATGTGGGAAAATATAAAGGCAGTAAAACTCCGACAACACCGCCTACAGCTCGTGTTTTTACCGGCGGTCTTCGTTTGCGAATCGCTGGAGGGAATTCCCGATTTTCGTTTCTTTTTCTTTCGGCAACAGCTGAAGCAGCAAGAGGTCTTCTCTGAAGATTTCGGCTGGGCGGAGTTGTTGCTGAGGGAAGCGATGTGCGTGGCGTCGTCCTCGACTTCGTCCTCCACCGCGGACTCGCGTTTTTTTTTTCTCACTCCTCCGACAGCAGCAACAGCAGGTGTAACAACAGCCTCTTTTTCGTGGAGGGTTTTGTTGTTTTAGGGAATGTTGCTGTTGTTGTTGTTGAAGTTGGAGTTGAAGCTCGCGCTGAAGCTGGTCTTGGAGAAGGCGTTTTTGTTTCTGGGCTTTTCTCTCCTCTTTTCTCTTGACCGGTTTTTGGAGCCGCGGTACCGTTGCGGTCGTGAGTTCGGATCCTGACGGAGTCTCAGACATGTCGTCGAGTTGTTATGTAGAGGAGGAACCTACTAAAACACTAGGATCAACTTCTAGGTTTATTCATTGCGACATGTACCCAAACACAGCGTAACGTGGTGTTACAATAACATTACCAAATATCCAAGAAATAAAAATATATGTCCACACATGCTGTGTTAGTTTTGAGCCTAGAAGAAAGATCGATGGGCCTGTCCTGGTGTTTAAAACAGCTTAAAATGCGATGCAAAATAACAAGACATTACAGTGTGTGATTACTTTTGATCGTCGTGTGTTGCTGAAAAACGTTGTGATCTATCTGTGATCTATCTGTGATCTATCTGTGATCTATCTGGGATCTATCTGAGATCTATCTGTACGTCACACTTAAACGACTGGAACCATTCTCATTCGGAGTAGGCCTATACTTGTTGTTTTCCAGGAAATACTTTCAAGCAGATTTTTATAGATGATGTTGATCGAATTGTGTTCCACGCGAGTTGTTTGTCCGGCTCTTTCTTTAGTCATAATTCTGTAACTGTGAACCCTCTACTTTAAAGACGAGGTATCTGAAAGAAAAACAATTGACATGCATATATAAATATAGTTAATGTAAATAATATAATTACACTAGCCGTCCCGGCCAGGCCCTGCTCTGGCTTCTGTGAAAAACCTTTCTGTTAAAGACCATTACCTGTGTGTTTAGTAATCATCATAAACCCGGCATTGCCCACCCAAACCACAACCAACCAAAACAACAAAACGCAAACATAACGCTAACACAATTACAAATACAAACGAAAACAAAAACAAAAACCTAACAACAAACCCAACCACAATCACAAACACCAATACAAACACAAAGAAAAAACAAACAAAAAAGCAAACGAAATTAAAAACCTAACAACAAACCCAACCAAAACCACAAACACCATACGAACACAAAAAAACAAACGAAAAAGCAAACGAAAACAAACCAAATCCAAACGCAAAACCAACCACAAACACAAACCCCAAAAAAAAAACACAAACGAAATAGCAAACGAAAACAAACCAAATCCAAACGCAAAAACAACCACAAACACAAATACAAACCCAAAGAAAAAAACACAAACGAAAACGAAAAAAAAAGAACAAAAAAGAACCAAATCAAAACACAACCACTAACGCAAACCCAACCTAAACACAAAGAAAACACTAACGCGAACATAAGTGCTCACAGTCTAGCCCGGGGCAGAATCGCCTGTTTCAGCTTAATAATCGACTATAGTACCCCAACTTATTCATAGTCTTTTGCACTCACTTAAACGAACGTAGGTGTCAAACCAAACCAAATGAACAATTATAATACTCCAAGCGTATTCGTAAAATACCTAAAACATTTGCACTTGATCAATCCCCGCTAATTATGTAATTATTTTTTTCCCAACATCAAAACAAAGTAAAAAAAGAAAATTCTTTTCCACTAATGCAATGGTTTATAAAGGGAAGTAATTGTGTTTTCCTAATTTATCAAAGGGAAGTAAGTGCTAAAGGACTAAATATAAATAATTTTCAGACATAATTAGAACTTTTGTTATTTTTTAAAAAAATTGTGTTTAATGAACGTGCCGACAATTATTACTATCAGTTTCAAAAATGAAAATTATTTCCCAACACTTTCAATGGTAATTTTTTAACTCAAAAATTTAGACTATGAGCACGATAATAGTCTAACACTTAAATCCATAAAAGTATGTCAACAACATACAAACTTATTTTTACATACAGATTTGAGCTTTATATATTAGATTTAAAATCGTCCCATCGACTTCAGCATGCTTTTTACTTGATAGAGAAAGTATTGTAATCGTGCGCAAAAAAATAAAAAGTTTGACAGTTTTCGCCGTATTACACCTCCTTACTTAATCATATACGGAATATAAAGGATGCATTGTAATCGTAAAAAAAGCCTAAATTGATATTTTGACAAAGTTTGACGTTATACAATCTTACGGTGCCGTAAAAAAACATTTGCAATCTTATCCATTCGCAAATGTGTATGTGTGCATGTGTGTGTGTTTGTGTATATATATATATATATATATATATATATATATATATATATATATATATATATATATATATATATATATATATATGTGTGTGTGTGTGTGTGTATATATGTGTGTGTGTGCAAAAAATGGTGCATTATCTCTTTTGTTATTCTCAGTCAAATATTAAGTCATCTCCAGTGACCTACAGTTGTACTTGACGATATTTTCAATTGCTAAAAAAATGTAATCGATGTTTTATTTAGAGAGTACCAATTTTCCGATTTATTATACTAACAACGTTTGCTTTTTCTTCTGTGCAAACCTAGTCTGTTTTAAAAAAAAAGTATTTAAAAAATTAATAAACAACATTTCTTTAGCCCAGGAAATCACATCCCTCTACTGCTTTATATGTATGTATATACGAGAAAGTTTAGGGGAGATCACTCCCAATTTTTTTTTCTTCTGAATTTGCTTTTGTCATCCCAAAAACAATCTGCAAAACAGCAGTTTTTATTTGTATAGTTTTCTCTGCACAAGGTCAAAACTCGAATCTTTTGGAGTTAGCATGGATTTACCCTACCATGCCGTTAGATTTGTACTCAACATTGATTTTTTTACACTACATATGCACCTCTAAGCATTTCAACTAAAATACGGATTTAATTTAAATCATTCACCCAGTAGTAGTGTATCCAGTTTACTAATTTCACCGCTGAGTAGAATTAACACTCAACCCAGCTCCTATTGACAGCAACGTAATTTTCCGCGAGTCGGGTTAGCATGATCTCCCCTTTTAACATTAAAAAAAATCGGTTAGAATTATTTCCCTTTGTTTGTACGAAAAACAAAGCAAATCTAATATTGATTTCTGGCGGCTTCACATTTTTCAAATGACAGATGGAAAATGTTTTCAAATTCCGTGCAGTCGCACCGTGCATGTAAACAGTACAGCCAGGAAAGTAAACAGTTAATTGGAATCGTCAAAAGTTTTAACAGATTTTTTTATTGACTTGTTCAGTATTGTAGGGTAGGGTGGGGGAGGGGGGTACGTCCGACTTGAATGGGTATAAATTTACGAGGCCAGCAAGTCTTGGTTGTTCTGAGAAAGGAAGGAACAATTTGTGTATAGAAAAAAAGGCGATTCGCTTTGTTTAAGGGTTAATGCGTAGATTGTGGTCTTGGATTCATATCAAAGTCTACGCCATTTTAAAAGTATCGAATCAATGTTCCTGTTCTGTCCGCATCGAATGAAAATTAAAACATCGAGTGCTTTGTTTTAAATGTTTAATTAATGCTACGTATTGGGTTTAGGGAAAGCAAAGTTACTCTTTGTGGCCTGAAGGTCAATAGTGCAGATCAAGTAGAGCTCATGTGTTTCTGATACCTCAGCAAATTATGGGATATTGGAGTCACTTCTGTCAACGTCCGCCTTTGGTTTCTCTTACGTTGGTCCGGTACACATCAGAGCTAGTTGAGTATTGGATACTATCCCTGTGTACATGGACTGCTAGAATGTTGTAAATGTACAATGTAATGTGTACTGGAATGAAATGTGTGTAGGTCTCGATGTAGTTATGTCTGTTTTTAATGTATAGGGAGATGGCCGTGTTGTTCTGTCACGGTCTCACACATCAGATAACTGCATACATTTTCACACACCTAATACCTGTATCACCTATCACACACCTGATACCTGTATCACCTATAACACACCTAATACCTGTATCACCTATAACACCTAATACCTGTATCACCTATAACACACCTAATACCTGTATCACCTATCGCACACCTAATACCTGTATCACATATCACACACCTAATTCCTGTATCACCTATAACACACGTCATACCCGTATCACCAGTCCCACAATAACTCCATTCGCCACACATCACACAGGTGGTTCCATACGACCTTACCTGCCTTAATTACACCAGGTGTGTTTACTTAACCTAATTGTCATTACATGTGAACATTCTATTTTACCGCTATACAGGTCGCGGTATCGATCCCCAACCTTCAATCACAAAAGTAATCGATGACCGCGGCAATAAATTTAAACACCCGTACAACAGAACGGCGCCGTAACGCAACTAAACGGTGTTTTTTTTCTTTCATTGGTTGCTGGTGGTGGTCATAGGGCGCTGGTAGATTAGCCGTACCCAATACTTGAGTCGTGTCTTTGTAACCCAAACCTAACACAGAGCCTAGCCAATATATACAATTTTAAGGTACAGCTATGGAGTGTTGGGTATGGCTAATCCAAAAGTTGTAATGAAATGCCGAGTTCTATTAATGGTATAACCTCTCATAACGACACAGTTAAAAGAAAAAAAAACACTAATATACGCTTTAATCATCGCTTTCTGATGAGCACCTTCGAGGCATGAATGAAATGTATTTTTGTACCATCACTAAAAGCCGAAGTCTGTCTGTCATATATATAGTTGTATGTCTTTACAAGTTATATCTGCCTGCATCGTATTTTATGTTTGTGATAATTTTAATGGATTGGCATTTTATAGTTGCATCCGTCAGGTTTGTTTGTCATAGTTTATTTTTAACGCTCATTGACTGAAATCTATGT